GGGCCTTTCATAGATGACTATACTATATAGGACGTGGCAGGGTATTTATACACCCGTAACAATAAAAAAGACACAAACTAAAGATCTGAGAGTACTCGCCGCAGTTTATGACAGCTAGTTCAAAGCTAATAAAACTAATAAAACAGTCAGAGAAAAACATGACCCTGCGCCACGCCAAAACATAGGTATCGACAGACTGTATGCATGCATGCATGTATACCAAACTTAGTCCTTTATGCACGTTGTTTTTACATTTATTACGAATCTATAGCGTTTAATTGACAAATAATATTTCATTCAGCGATTGTTGATCGCAAGCTAATTGACTTTCGAGTTTTCACCGAAGTTTACCGGATAATGACATTGATTTAAGTAATCAACACAGAATCGTGGAGCACGTGAAAAATAAGAGAATCGATAGATCGATGTCAATTTATTTGTTTGTTTGTTTGCATTCTTCCGTCACGTTTTCCCCTCTCACTTGCACTGTTAGGTGGCCGAAATTCTAACGAGAGGTCTGGAAGTTAAGGTCACTATAAGGACAGATATCGGCGAATTAAAGGATGGGAAGACAAAAATTCGATAACAGCACATTTCTTAAGATTTTGATAAGATAAAAGATTTTCTTTTACAAGAAAGTCCACGTACACTTGTTTCATAGTAAACTTAGCCATTCAAGTATATAAAAGATATTCTTTTTTTTTAAATTGAAGTATCATATGACTTTAAGCAATTGACTATTAAGTCAAAAAGAAAGTTTTAAAGGTCATTACGTGTAATTCCGAGTTTTTGGGTTTTTTTTTTTGTGCAATGCATAGTCAACTGCATAAACACATGACCGAGGACTAATGCATCAAGAAAAAATTAAGATATTTACATTCCGTAAAATAGAAACCAACAGAGCACCACCAATATGTAGAAATGAAAAAGAATCTTATTTCCAAATCTAAAACTATGTTGTTGGAACGAGCTAAAAATATTTCTTGCATGGCCTTATTCTGCTACCGTAAATACAGGAAACTGATATCAAATTTCAATGTAAAAGAGAGTAAGTAAAAATTCGGGTCATAACATTTCTTTTATCTCAATTATATATATCTTTAGAGAATATGTTGAAAATATCCATCAATTCTTAATATAATAGTAAAAAAAAGTACAGCAGATAATGGCGATTTGGTTTATAATGGTGTGCAACAAACATATAATATTCCTAACGTACAAACTTCAATTGCTTTTTCTACTAACTGGATACACGGGTAGTAACATCGTCATATCGAGGAGCGTTTAGTACAGTGATTTTGTCATAGTTTGGTTAAGTTGGTCATGGTTTAGTTAGGTTACTTCCCAGAACGGTTGCCTCATTTCTTTTCAAATGAGCAAATAAAAAGCAACGAAGATGTTTTAATCTATATTGTTAGTCAAACGATCTACATTGAAATTGTTGTTTTTAAGAAATTAACGCAGATAACCAGAATATCGAAATTGCTATGGTTTGGATAAGCGATTGACATGGTTCAGTTAAGAAATTCGTCATGGTTTTGATCAAATTGGTCATGGTTTAGATCCAAATTAAAACATATTTGTTTCACCTTTATATTGATAGTTTGTTTGAAGACGCTTGTGAAAAAACGAGTTACACAATTTACCAATTGACTAAGAAGAAAAAATAGGTGTTTATAACCAAATTTAGTGGGCGTAATCGCAAACCGTACATTATATAGATATGAGAAGATGTGGTATGAGTGCCAATGAGACAACTCTCCATCCAAGTCAAAATTTATAAAAGTAAACCATTATAGGTCACAGTACGGTCTTCAACACGGAGCCTTGGCCCACACCGAACAGTAAGCTATAAAGGGCCCCAAAAAATTACTAGTGTAAAACCATTCAAACGGGAAAACCAACGGTCTAATCTATATAAAAAACGAGAAACGAGAAACACTTATGAACCATATCAACAAACGACAACTACTGAACATCAGATTCAGGACAGGTGCAAACAAATGCAGCGGGTTTAAACGTTTTAATGGTACCAAACCTTCACCCTTTTTCTGAAACAATAGTGTAACATCACAACATAGAAAGACACACTATAAAATATCAACTGAAATAGCTTAACTCAATCAAAGGACATGTTAACACCATTGAACATACACTGAACAAATAAATTTGTAAATAAATTACAAACAAATAAATTATACATTTTTACTTTTCGTGTGTTTCCTAAGATAGAATTCATAGCCACTGCTCTTTTTAACTGGCATTCGATCAAATAAATTACAAAAACAGACAGCGTTGCATCTGTTTCACATAAAATCTTTTCCCATATGTCCATGATGGATATTGTGAGCGTCGTCACGAGTCAAATGGTTAAAGACGCCTACCTAAAGTTGCAAAACGTAGCAGCTAGTCAAAAATAATTTTTGTTTTATATTTTTTCTAGCAAACTCTACATCTCATTTTATTTTGAACCTGATTATGTCTATGATGAATAAAAAGGAGATGTGGGGTTGTCTGCCCATGATACAGTAACCCAACAACAAAACTAACCAAACAATATCGAGAGGGAACCATACAGTCTTCAACCCTCCACGGGACAAAATGCTAACATGGACAACAGTTAAAATATGTTTTTTTTAATAAGTTATATATGAAATTACTATGAAAACTACTTACAAAGTTCCGAATTTAAATATGCAAGACTCTGAACTGATGGTACTCCGAACCGCGATGGTTTGCCGCCGAAGTGCGTATTTGATCACGCTGAAGTGCGATAGTGGCATTGTGACGCTATCTTGTTGATAGCTACGCCGAAGTGCGATGGTAATAACGCTGAAGTGCGACACAAACTACATTTTCAATGCTTTTCATATGAATGTAGAAGTCAATTTTTATATTATAGCAGTGCTTAAGGTTATAAGTTGATAAGGGGCTTGATAATATTGTTGAAGGCCATACGGTGACCCATAGTTGCTAAATAAAGGCAACAGTAGTATAACGCTGTTCAATAATCATAATTCGATTAAGCAAAAACAAATCCGGGTAACAAACTAAAACCGAGGGAAACACATCAACTATAAGAGGAAAACAACGGAACAACAGAAACACTGAACTACAACATACGCCACCATACATAGATACGGATTTTAGATAACAACTGCCATATTCCTGCTAACGTCTACGTCATTTGGTCTCGGATGGATAGTTGTCTCATTGGCAATCACAACGCATCTACTTACATGTATCATATACTACTATGTGCTTTCTCATGTCCTTTTGTATTCCAAAAAAAACTACTTTTAAAGAAAATTGCCTTTTAAATTGATATATTATCCTCGTGATTTCTTCATACATGCATGTTCTATAATGATAATATCTTAAATTTACTGTAGACGACTTATTTTCTCGAGCGATGTATTTTCGCGAGTAGAAGATCAACGTAATATATGTGAAGAGCTACTCGTATGGGAACAAAACAACAACATTAGAAAATGGCGACAATATTTCGCCTCTAAATAGGATAGAATTGGTTAAACGCGAGATAAAAAAAGGTATCGGCGAAAGAAAATTCTGTTTATTTTGATCGTTACTCTTCCATCATATACAACAGGAATCACATAACCGAACCATGTCGAACATGAACTAAACCATGACACCGTATTTTCAGTAATCTTAATTTGTGTGCAAATGTAGCTTTTTTTCGGAATAATCGACGGCAGTCCTATATCATAATGAAATATGTGATGTAACAGACAGTAAACAAATCACTTTTTTATGCATTAGAAACGAATACGCAACTTTTAAATTTTGACATACTCAAATATTAATCTGCGTTGTAGCTATAGTAGACCGACACGCTGGGTCGTATTTATAACGTGCTAGCTCACAAGGTAAGATGCCGCAGGAAGGCATGTCATCCTACCTGGACACATTATTCTGATTCCAAGCCGACCAGTCTTTTTTCTTACTCCTAAATATGATGTGTGCTTAGCGGAGAAGCAAAGAGATTCTGTGTCAAATTATCAACTACATGATACAAATTTTAATGGACTAACATATTAGCTATAGACAAAGATACTTACCAGCTTTGATTTATGTTCAGAAATTTCGTTAGCAAGAAATCAGAATGTTTATATTGTGTCATTGTTTGTCTTTTAAAAACACTTTAACACGATCATGTCCAACTTAACCAAACTATGACAAAACCACTGTACTAAACGCTCATCGATATGACGACGTTACTACCCGTGTGGATAAGTCACAAGAACAAGTAAACACTCATTATATGTTCGAAGCTAGACCAAAGAAGTTCAAGAAAAAATAAAATAGAGCAATAAGCAATAAAGATTACCACTTTTGAAATGACCTTATACGGATATCAACATTCAATGCAAATTAACATAGTTGGGAAATAATTGAGACGGCCTAATCTAATAATTATTAAACAAAAACAGTAAAATCTTATTACCGCCTATCATTCCAGTAGATATAATAGGATTTGTGTTACCGATTAATATTCAAACTAAATGTTTTTGCTATCGTTTACAGCAGATGTTCGCTTCTGCAGGTCTCATTGCTATTGCAATACAATGAATTTTGCCATCGTTTCTATGATCTATTGACCTGTGTGACATTTTTCATCTGAATTACTGATAGCCAGTGTGCTGTAAAGCATAAAAAGTATTATTGTATAATTTGATCTTTTATTCTTCTGAAAGTTTGCGTGACAATGAGTTGACCGGTGTGCTCGAAAGCTTAAGTTGTTGAAATTTAAAGAATATGGGAAATTGTATCATGCTTAAGAATTTTGTGTATGAATGGAAATGAAAAATAAATTGTCAGTTAAAAGCAGTTAGATCCATCATAATTAATTATCCAATTATTGACAAAAAAGAATGTAATAGATAGATTAAAATCTTTGTGATTCAATCATGTAAGTAATAACAATACATGTAAACAGGATATTTTGATAGATGGCTTTTTTTAATGACCACTAAAATTTTAGGTATATATAGTGACTGTACCTCCACATTGGGTACCAGTGTTGTTGACCTGACATCAAGTAAGTACATGTATCATTAAGTTGACAAAGGCATTGTTCTTCACATTCTTTCGCTTTGGTGATTAGAATAGTTCGCTAGTTTTCTTTTCATGTGGTTAAAAAAAATAGATCGTCCTAGAAAGCATCAAATTAAAATATTTTATCATATCACAATAAATTTTGTTCCACCTTAACACACAGATGTTTCCGGTTAAAAAAATCACCTTTTTTGTCAAAATTATGGCAATCGTTAACGTTTGGAAATTATTTGTTCTCGCTTCGAAACAGGAAAAAAAGATCGGCGAGTGTCGCCTTTCTTCCTGTTTCTTAAGTTAATACAAATAAATTATGTATTTTCCTAAACTGTACAAATGTGTGTATATATACATTTTTAAGACATAATTACTCTAAATATCAGCACAACAATGTTAAATCTGAAAATTTGCGGAAGCAAATTTTTGTTCTTCCTTCGCCAGGATTCGAACTCATATATATATATTGTTATAATATTCTGTCAAAACATGTCCATGAACCACATCTATTGATCATGCATTGTCATCAATTGTGGAAGATTTACAGTTATGAATACCAAATTAAATTAGTTCGCTAGACAATTCCAGTAGACTATACGCCAGACGATAATTTGATAACATAGGTTGAATACTTTGAGTCTGCTTTCAGTAGCTTCAAAAATTCTTTCGCACGATATTATTTGGTATTGTTTTACAACTACCACTGTTTTTGTTGTTTTTTTTATATTTGAATTGATTTCCGTCGTACAATATAATTATGTACATTAAAAGTGGAAGAGTTAAGTGCGTTATAATCAGTTTAATCCGCAACATGTCCATTGCATCTAGCTCATCACAAATCATGAACCTCGTCATTGGTTGTTTTAGTTATATTTTAATGTTTCTGGAGTCGGTTTCAGAAAAAACTTACGACTAAGATTGATCGCAAGTCATGAACAATTCAGTATACTTACGATCAATCTTAGTTGTAAGTTTTTTTTTTGTGAAACCGACTCCTGGTCTTTTAGGAAATCATGTGTTGATGGTAAATCTTTGATAATCTCTGGTTGAATTATTAACAACTGTTCTAGACTCAAGCGATTTAAAACTTAGGATATTGTTGATTTATATCTGTTTTGGGGGAGGGGGAGGGGGTTCCATTGGGTTGCTGTCTCATTTGCATATAACCAAAATATCCTCTTATTCTCATATAAATTTGCATACATTTAAAAAGAAACAATTCCATGGTAGGTTACTTTTGCATTTGTCCTTTCATTCTGTCTAGCAACGGGTGTATTGATAAAAACAATACCAGCAGAGTATGCTTTTAGATTTGGAAAAAGTATGCCACATCATTTAACTAGGGCAAATGGGTAACTAACCAATATACACTTCTTCGCCTTTATGCAAGTTTTGTTGTACTAGTGCATTTTATAACATTCAATTGGATTTTAAAATCATAGTAATTTTGTTGAAAATCAATTACGGTTGGTATAACATATGTTAATCAGAATTACATTGCACGTAGAAAATGTGTTAGGGTATATAAAGGGGGTTGAAAATCTTTCTGTTTCTTTTAAGCACACCATTTTTAAGTCATTATACATTTTACTTCATTTATAATTTTCAGAATTCCAATATGTTGAAACTTATCCTGTTGAGTGTATGTATCGCAATGGCCTGCGCTTTCTATGACAAAGGTTATAATGGATATGGACCAGGATTTGGGGGTCACGGAGGTTACAGTAAGATTATTTATGATGGATATGACGGATATGGCAAAGGATATGGATATGGAGGAGTGATAAATGATGGATACGGAAAAGGTTATGGTGGTCACGGCGGATATGGTGGTTACGGTGGATATAGGGGTTACGGTGGATACGGAAAACAATATGGTGGATACGGATATGGAGGATATGGTGGTCATGGTGGATACGGAAAAGGATATGGATACGGTGGATACGATGGAGGATATGGATATGGAAACAGTATCGGATACGGAAGCGGATTTGTGTCAGGAAAAGGGAAAATAGGTAAAATAAACTGTTAAGATTTCTAATTGAAAAATGTCATATTATGATGATTATATCTATCTATAATTTACTCTCTTACTGGTGAGTCTTTTGTAGACGAAACGCGCGTCTGGCGTACAAAATTTTAATTCTGGGATCTATGACGAGTTTATTTACTCTTAACTTTATACACCATCATTATAAGGCACCTTTGTTCTAAAAACTTTATCGTATACAAATATCATGATTGATGAAATACACCCACCCCCTTTCACTTTGTTAGAGATGTGTACAATTGTCTTGTGTATTTTATAATTTCTTTTTTGTACAACACCCCTAACATGTCATACATGTATAAACATTACACATTCAAATTACGTTTTTAAGATTCAAATATTTATATGGTAAATGGATTGTGATCAGTTTTAGTTGGGAAATATTGTGCTTTTGTTATTTGTGGAAATGAAAAAAATGTATTCTTTGCATTGCAGGAGGTGGCTACTGAGACATGAGATTTAAGTCCGGAGTTGTTTGCTGAAAAAAAAACAACATTAAGAGACTCTAAAAATCTTTTTTAACAATAAAAGTATATACTGATTTTTGTCAATCTTATTAATTATAATATACACAAATTGGAAAGGTTGAAGATTCACATCTTGAACTTAAAACAATATTTAAAATATGATATTGATATTCAAGTACATTACTGTAAACAATAAATTACTTTTAGACTTATTTCGTAATGTTGAGTGTCGCCATATATCTCAGCTTAAAGTCTAAAATCAAATAAGATGACGAAAATGGAGTATACTAATACTAATATGTCAATTAGGCAGTAACCCTAAGAGACAAAAACAAAATTACTCATTGTGATCAACAAATGTTCTTCAACACCAAAACGCACCGTACACCTCTGTGTTTTCTGGAGTGTGGGAGGTTAACGTTGTGGTATCGATCAAAGGCCGGGTCAAACCAAAGATTTGAAAATTTGTATTTGCTGCTTCTCTGCTAAGCACACAGCATATTTAGGAGTAAGAACAAAGACTGGTCGACTTGGAATCAGAATAATGTGTCCAGGTAGGATGACATGCCTTCCTGCGGCATCTTACCTTGTGAGCTAACACGTTATAAATACGACAAAGCATGGTCTACTATAGCTACAACGCGGAATAATATTCATATATCGCTGTAACTTGTTTCCGCCTGATATGCATGTAAAAGTTGCCACTGGTTGTAAAACACCAATCTATCATCACTAACAGCAAAGAAATATCGATATACTAAGTAAAGCTCTAAATTACACACATTAGAAAAGTTGTAATTAATTTATCAGAGGCTATAAAAAGCAGAGATCAACACGAAATTCCCTGTGATATATTTTCTTTTTATTTATTTATAACTTAATACTTGGAGCTATTTATAGCTTGACATTTTTCATAGACTCCGGTAATAACAAAAGACTGTAGGTTTAGCTCTAGATGTCTTTTGTTATTTGAGTCGTTAGGTTGCTGTATCAGTTGTGTGTACGGCTTTCGACGATAGAGAAGAGACCACTACCCCAAAATGATTTGCATATCTAAAAGTGTTAGTTTGGGTAACCGCCAATGTTGTATCATTCCAATCTGAAAATGAAAAATCAAAATCGGCTGACTATAATCTCTATATACTAGTCAACAAAAGAAACGACAAGTCTGAACTATATGATTCAGTTCGAAAGTGAGACAATACCAAGATATTGAAGATAAGGATTACATTTAATTTGCAGGAAAAGATGATAAAAGTTGATGACACCCAGTTTTTAAGATAAGAAATCAGTTTTAATCTATCGGTTTTTTTTTAAATTATGGATAAAATTACGAATGAATGAGATTTGCGTTTTTTCCTTAAATCAATAATTTGATGAGAAAACAGCACTCTGTAAATACTACATCAAGTGGGAATTTAGCTTGGTACCATGTATACAATTTCATGTGACAGGGTAGGCAAGAAATTTATGACGAACACAACTATATTTTTACCTGTAAAAAATCCTCCATAATATATGCGTACATGTAGCAGACGACAAAACCACATATACAAGTAAAATAGACCAAAAACAGATAAATTGTGTACCCATATTACCGGCTATCACTCCAGGGGCGTGTTTTTTTTTTTGTTCTTCTGTAGTGAGCCAGAACAGGCCCATTTCTGTTTGTTTTTTTTTTGCATTAGGAAGATCTGCTGTCTATCTTCTACATCTTCGTTTTAAAAAGGTAGACTAGACGATAGAGGCACATAACAAACATGGCGTCGTTTAGTCCAAATGACATTAATAAATTTATGAATGCAGATATAAAGAAAGTGAGCTGTGTGCTAAACGTGTTTATGGTATGGCAGCCTTAATGGGATATCATTGTAGGGACGATAAGCTTATTATATAAGAACTACACTAACAATAACAGTAAGGGGACGACTATTTGATATTCTTGGGAGGGGAGCGGTCAGGAAGTTTTTTGCGGATTTATTATTCATTTTAATCTGTCGCTAAGGCTACCTATTTTTTCATCTCTTACCAGACACCCATATTCATATTCAAAATCCTCCTGTCCCCCACCACACCCCACACCCAAAGAATAAATATAAAATGGTTTTCCCCTTGTTTAACACGGGTTTAAATTGATTGATTGCTGATTGCTTATTTTTAACGTCAAGTGACAAATATTTCATGCATGTTTAGGAAAACACGAGTTTGAAAATCAGGTATATCATATATAAATAAGGAGATGTGATTTGATTGCAAATGAAGCAACTATTCACCGGAGTTCAAATGAAGTGGATGTAAGCAATGATTATAAGCAACCGTGCGGCCTTCAACAATGACAAAAATCCACACCGTATAGTCGGCTTTAAAAGGCCCCGACATGAAAAATGTGAAACAATTCCAACGAAAAAACTAACGGTTTAATATATTTTACAAAACAATTTACAAAAGATCAAACATGAGTCGACAGACATGAACCAACGACAACCATTGAACAACAGGCTCATAAAGAATATAGCAAGGTAAACATGTTTGTAAGCGCTCAACCCTTCCCTTAATTGGGAGAGTAGTGTAAAAGAACAAACTGTAAAAATCAGTTCCAATAGGTTTAACTCTAGATGTCTTTTGTTATTTGCGTCGTTAGGTTGCTGTATCAGTTATGTGTACGGCTTTCGACGATAGAGAAGAGACCACTACCCCAAAATGATTTGCATATCTAAAAGTGTTAGTTTGTGTAACCGCCAATGTTGTATCATTCCAATCTGAAAATGAAAAAATCAAAATCGGCTGACTATAATCTCTATATACTAGTCAACAAAAGAAACGACAAGTCTGAACTATATGATTCAGTTCGAAAGTGAGACAATACCAAGATATTGAAGATAAGGATTACATTTAATTTGCAGGAAAAGATGATAAAAGTTGATGACACCCAGTTTTTAAGATAAGAAATCAGTTTTAATCTATCGGTTTTTTTTTTAAATTATGGATAAAATTACGAATGAATGAGATTTGCGTTTTTTCCTTAAATCAATAATTTGATGAGAAAAACAGCACTCTGTAAATATTACATCAAGTGGGAATTTAGCTTGGTACCATGTATACAATTTCATGTGACAGGGTAGGCAAGAAATTTATGACGAACACAACTATATTTTTACCTGTAAAAAATCCTCCATAATATATGCGTACATGTAGCAGACGACAAAACCACATATACAAGTAAAATAGACCAAAAACAGATAAATTGTGTACCCATATTACCGGCTATCACTCCAGGGGCGTGTTTTTTTTTTGTTCTTCTGTAGTGAGCCAGAACAGGCCCATTTTTGTTTGGTTTTTTTTTGCATTAGGAAGATCTGCTGTCTATCTTCTACATCTTCGTTTTAAATAGGTAGACTAGACGACAGAGGTACATAACAAACATGGCGTCGTTTAGTCCAAATGACATTAATAAATTTATGAATGCAGATATAAAGAAAGTGAGCTGTGTGCTAAACGTGTTTATGGTATGGCAGCCTTAGTGGGATATCATTGTAGGGACGATAAGCTTATTATATAAGAACTACACTAACAATAACAGTAAGGGGACGACTATTTGATATTCTTGGGAGGGGAGCGGTCAGGAAGTTTTTTGCGGATTTATTATTCATTTTAATCTGTCGCTAAGGCTACCTATTTTTTCATCTCTTACCAGACACCCATATTCATATTCAAAATCCTCCTGTCCCCCACCACACCCCACACCCAAAGAATAAATATAAAATGGTTTTCCCCTTGTTTAACACGAGTTTAAATTGATTGATTGCTGATTGCTTATTTTTAACGTCAAGTGACAAATATTTCATGCATGTTTAGGAAAACACGAGTTTGAAATTCAGGTATATCATATATAAATAAGGAGATGTGATTTGATTGCAAATGAAGCAACTATTCACCGGAGTTCAAATGAAGTGGATGTTAGCAATGATTATAAGCAACCGTGCGGCCTTCAACAATGACAAAAATCCACACCGTACAGTCGGCTTTAAAAGGCCCCGACATGAAAAATGTGAAACAATTCCAACGAAAAAACTAACGGTTTATTATATTTTACAAAACAATTTACAAAAAATCAAACATGAGTCGACAGACATGAACCAACGACAACCATTGAACAACAGGCTCATAAAGAATATAGCAAGGTAAACATGTTTGTAAGCGCTCAACCCGTCCCTTTACTGGGAGAGTAGTGTAAAAGAACAAACTGTAAAAATCAGTTCCAATTGGATTAAATCAAAAGATCGGTAGGAGACACAACAAAACAACTAACTAACAGTAAGATAAAAGACACAAAGCAACGAAATAAGAGTATTTACAGGCACTGAAAGCTTGTTCAAAGCCAATTACAACTAACAAATAAATCATGTTCTCCCAGACTAAAGTAATAATCAGTACACAACCAACGGATTTAGTTAAAAACAGTTTGAGAAACGCCATGACCTTATATACATATACAATTAAGGTTCTCGAAAATTGGTGGTCCGAAGATTTAGACCATCGAAATTTTGCAAGGACCGGCATAGTTTTGGTATTTTGCAATACATGTAGGAATAATAGTAAGAATCACTAGGGAAAAAAAGATTTTGATAACTCTGCGATATCTTTTATATACAAAAATAATCCAGTTTGGTTACTTTAAAAATGTTTAATAGACAAGATGTCCTTTTCGATCATATACCATACAAATCATTGACAAATTTTTGTACAGTTTAAGATTAGTCCTGAAAATCAAATAGTCGGGGCTTTTAGCTGGATTTGTTTAGCTTAATTAAGTTAGGAAAGCATAAAGAAAAAATGTCACGAACACAGCGATTTCATTCAACCAATTTTGTTTGTTTTTACACTTATTATATAATTACATCAATGCCAAAACAGAAAAGACTATTGCAGTCATGTATACCTAACGGACTGACGTAACTAAATTGTTTAATAAATCATCGCAAACTTCATTTATGTCATTCAACATAAAACAATTCTGCTGTATTCGACGGCAAATTGAATCGTGTTTTATTGCTTCTTCTAGAGAATATATATCCAGAAGAGGTCCAGATTCATTTTTTGAACTCTTCACCAGAAGACATTCTGGAGATATACAGAAAAGACCAATAAAACATGCCCAGCAGATACAATATGATTTGTGTCCATGATTTTCATTAAAATCAATTGTTTTCAATATCGTGTACAGTAGATTTTTGTCTGTAGTCCGATTGCCATTGAGACACAATGGAGTTTGCCCTCGTGTTCAGCAGATCTGTGTTACCTTTTGCATGCAGTACCGATATCCAGTTTGTTATGATATATACAAAAAGTCTTGTTTTTGTCTGTAAAATATGGTCCTTCCAGTTTTTAATATGAATTGAAAGTTCCAAGGACAAAGCGTTGATCGGTCTGCTCGGAAGCTTAGTTGTTGGAAATTTGTAGATTTCGGGGAATTGTATCATGCTTAAGAATTTTGTGTATGAATGGAAAGAGCTTTATATTATGTGTGTATCATTACATTTTCACTCAAATTTGTATATCAATACATAGCAAAGGGTTACAGCTTATACTAATGCATTTTTTTGTTTCGATAAATAATGAAAGTTTGCCCATATGCATTGGTTACTTCAAGTAAGATAGCTTTAAAGTTATTTGTTTGCCGTTTCAAAATAATTGTTAGTCAGTGTGGTTACCGAAATAAACAAACTATTGACTTTATACCGCATTGATTGAAGAATTACTTTTCTACTGTTCTCAACTGACCAGTTATTCTACTGCAAAAGTTTTTGAAGGTAATTTCTATGATAGCAGATAAAAACATTTGAAAATACTTGCAGAAACTACGGGCATTCTTTGATACGATAACATTAATTTGTTTTGTGTTTCTCGTACCTGTGTTTTCGTAGTCTATTATTAGTATACCTTACTATATCTGTTATGCAGTAGACCAATATAACATCTTTAGACAAAGTGGTCTGACTTAATTGATATAATACTTCTCATTCTACATTACAGCAAACTAATGCAACTCATTTAAACAAGGTACGTTTTTCCCCGCATAGCACTCTTAATTTTAGATCTGTTCTGCAACAAACCAATACACCTTCTTTAGAAAAGGGAATGGGCAACTTGTAAAAGGCTTTTTATCCTAGATATTCCCTACAGCAAACCAATATAACTCATTTCGATAATGGTATGAGGGTTAACAGATAAAGTACATCGCATCTAAGATCTGTATTGCAGGAAACCATAGTTGCTCCTTTAGATAAAGGTATGGGACAACTTGTATCAAAACATAGTTTAGAGTCGATATCGGGATTCATCAATCTAAAAAAATATTTGGAAGGGAAACCGACTAAACCATGACAAAACACGAAAGATGACAAAAAGACAATGATATGAGGGTGAACTCATAAAGTACTTCGAATTCAAGATCTGTATTGCAGCAAACCAGAGCTACTCCTTTGTACAATGGTATGGGACAACTTGTATCAAATTAAACATAATTTATACTTCCTGAGCACCCGAGATCACCCCCGGTTTTTGATGGAGTTCGTGTTGCTCAGTCTTTAGTTTTCTATTTTGTGTTTCGAGTACAGTTGTTTGTCTTTTGAGTTGTTTTTTTTGCCATGGCGTTGTCAGTTATTTTCAACTAATGAGTTTGAATGTCCCTTTCTCCTATCTTTTGGAGACAATATCGGGATTTATTACATTGGTTGCAATGAAATACCGAAATTTCGATAAATTCACATGTGAAATAAGTACGATAGTTTCACTTCTCTAATGTCATACAACAATGGGTGCTGTTAAGACATTGGCGATGGCGTTGCATAAAATCAGCTTGTGAATGCGTAGAAAAAAATAGTTCCTTGTTCCTTGTTTCTTAAACTTTACTTTATATCAATAACCCTATGGCCAATGTAATAAAAGAATAACTAATCGTAGAATTCAAACACGAAAAATATTCAGCTCGTGACAGAAAAACACTGATATTTAAAGTAGCGCATTCGTGAATAAATGTGTTGTTCGGTCACTCGTTGAACATTTTTCTATATTGAAATAATCGATTAGTTATTCTATAATTATAAAATCTATAATTACAAAAAGTGGCAGAAGATAACAAAGGGTCAATAAAAATTTATATGGAAGTGAAACCGACAAAACCATGACAAAACACGAAAAATGACTAAAAGACAAACAAGCAGTCTACGAAAACTGATGACTGAGAAAATACCGGGGATGATCTTCGGCGGGTAAGGGTAATCGGTTCCTGCTATGCATGTGGTATCCGTCGTGTTAAACAAAGTAAGTACACATTATGCAATAATTCTAATTCGGTGATGTCACAATCGAGTATGCTGCATGTATATTTCCATGATTTCATAAATATACAATATATGTACTTTGTCGGAAAATTTAACTAAACCATGACAAAACACGAAAAATGACAAATAGACAAACACCAGTCTACAAAACTCAACAGAGAAAACTTATGACTGAGCAACACGAACCTTTCAAAAAACTGGGGATGACCTCAGGTTGGTAAGTGTAAGCAGATCTACATTAGGTAAAGTTATAATTCGGTTACAAGTGTAACTTGAAAATTTGACTGCAGTTAATTTTTGTTTGAAAAAGACAAGAAAACTGATTAAGTACCGGTCCGGATGATTTATTTATTTTCATTGTTACTTTGGATTTGGTTCTGATTACTGGGTTCCTCAATATTGAGCTGAAATAGAAAATAATATGCGTTAAGATCTGTACGTAGTAAAAGCAGGTGCAAGTTAAATTGGTATTTTTTTTTCAATATTCATTTATATTTTACAATCCAAATGACCTGATTAAATTCCAACAATATGCTTTAAATGCCATTTTTAAAATTTCATTTTATTTTTATAGGCCCGTATAAATAAAATCAATATGGAATGTCTCTAATAAATTAATGGAAATCAATGTTCATTTGTTTTGTTTAAGGAAATTAAGCTTAGCCAAAAAATATACATACTACTTACTTATTGATATAAGTGTTCATGTAACACATACTAACCATATTTTCCTTTACCACCGAATCCTCTACCAAATCCACCACCAATACCCTGTCCTTTTCCAAATCCGATTTGTCCAATTCCATATCCACCTCCAATACCGTGTCCTAGTCCACCTCCAATACCGAATCCTTGTCCACCTCCAATACCGTATCCCTGTCCACCTCCGATACCGTATCCTTGTCCACCGAATCCTTGTCCACCTCCGATACCGTATCCTTTTCCAAATCCGATGTTTCCACTTCCATATCCACCATATCCTAAGTCAAGCCCGTGTCCCCCATATCCGAAATCTAGTCCGGATCCACTATGTCCATAACCACCATAGTTCTTTCCGTATCCACCGATTTGAATACCGGACCCATATCCGCCGCCATATCCACCTCCATATCCCATTCCGAAAGCCATTGAGGCACAGAGAGCAAGAGCGACGAATCTAAGCATGGTGATTGTTCTGAAAATATACATAAAAGAACTTTACTATGTGTTCTTCTGTGTTCCTTTTATTGTTCCAATGATTGATATTAAATTGAAGAAGGGGAAAGGGGAGATGTCTTTAGTTATATCTAAATGATATTTTTGTTGTTGTTGCTCTTTGTTTATTTTGATTATTATGTATTCTATTTTATTTCATATTCAGTTGTTTATTTAATTTTCCTGAACAGAATTCGGTATTAATGACAGGCCATTAGATATCTAATACTCTTTGTTTTATTTACTACTTTCTGACATTCGGGGCCATTTAAAAGTTGACATATTGAATATGAATTTGTCGTCAATTGACTGTAATGTTTCATTAACATTTACCCAACATCTATTTTTTTCATAGATTGTACATCGTTGCAAATTGAAAATAATATTTAAGACGTCAACAAAACTAACTACATGTATCTGATTAAGATACAGTCACTTAGTCTAATTTTAGCAAAGCGTTGACATGGAATCTTTATGTAAATTAGTTTGCAAGAAAGTCAATTCTGCTAAATGCAAGTTGTGCTTAAAATAATCTATCATGTATGATTATCATATTTTTTATATTGCCGCTGTTAATATATATTGTATAATACAAGGAGACAGTCAGTGAAAGTATATATGATAATACTGTATAATCAGTAAAAGCCAAATAACTAAACACTATTCGTAAGAAATTTAAAGGGTGACGCGATACACTATCTATCTTTCTGTAGGATATTTTTTACTTATCATTTTTGGCTGAAGTCGTGCACAATTTTACAATATCAGAATTATGGTTTTATCGTTACTAAACGAGTATTCAACTTTTTTAAGATCAACACGCTAATTATAAGAAAGTATTTTACATTCACCTATAGAACAATTTCATTTTTAAAGTTAGACTTTCTAGTAAAGTTCGAATGAGAACCAGGATAAATTAATGTTTTATTCGTTATATTTATAATAACATGATCATTTGTATGGACAACTTTAAAATACTAGTAACATAAAAAGTTCAAGAAAAAAAATCTTGTACGGTTTCAAGCGACAACCTTAATATTACAGAGTACTTACTTAGGTGGAGTGTTGAGATGTTCTGTCCAATGAAGGTTTTCGCCTGGGTTATATACTGTAACCCATGATTGTCTACACCCATTGATGCATGTAGCCATATTTCATGTAGCTATCAAGGTGGACAACAAGGGTTGTCAATTATGCAATACTGACACATGCATACATATGTAACTGACGTAACAAGCGAAGGTCTGTTTTTGCCATTTTAGTATTTTTAATTTCATATATACTAGACGACAAAAGAAACTATACACAAGTTTGAACTCTTATTTTACATCAAATATGATAAAATGGAAAAAATGATAAATTATCTAATGAAAAACTTTATTGTGCTAAACAAATGCATATGAATCAGAAAATCTAACCAAATTAAAAAGTGAGAAAATATCGTGTTATTGAACACAGGGGTCATATTTAGTTTGCGGGAAAAAACGAAGGCACGAATCGGCACTAAATTTGAAAGATGAGAATTTTGTTTTCAAATATCTACAAAGGGACTCAAAATTCTAATCAGACCATGTTTATATTTGAAGTTCTAATGCTGTGTTCACAGATAGTTCGAATTCGATTCTAACCAAATCCAATTAGTTTAATTCGTATTCGAAACGTTTTACGTCCGAAGATAAATTCTAATACGAATTGCAATGCGAGTCAAATTCGCTTTACTGTCCGAACGACGTTAACTTTTAATTCGCATTATCAATTAATCAATTATAATAAAGAAAACAAAACAACCATTTTAGATCCAAACATATCTCCAAACTTGCTCTCTTGATCAGATATAACATTTATCGGAACCATTTTTTCTTCTCATTTCAACAACAGGGCTAGGCTTTTCCTATTTTTTCAAAGATCATTTTTTTCCTGTTAGTTTGCACAAACCATGATTGTTAAACGAAAAAAAAACATCATTATGATTTTCGACTATGATATTTTCGCGGACACGAATTATAAGTAGTACGCTTTTAATTTTAAAGATCAAGAAATAATGATGATATTCTTTTAATTTGTCCGTCCAAGCACATTTTCGGGTAATTCAAATTACAATTTAGAAAGTGTCCACACCACAGTTTAATTCGAATTGAAGCGAATTAACTAATTCGCATTAACGAAAACGCATTTCTAATGCAAATTGGATAATGCGAATTAGCCTAATCGAATTCGATTCGAATTAAAAAAAAAAGAAGAGTGTGGACGCGATTAGCAAATTCGATTCGCGTTCAATTCGAATTAAATGTACGTGTGAACGAGGCATGGTATCGGCTTTTGTAATTTTTGTTTAAAAAAAAATTTTCAAATCAATAACATTACGATTTCAAAATTTCGCGTTTTTGCCTTAGATAAATGGTTTTGAAAAGAAAACAATGGTTTAAGCTTGGTACCGTGCATCCATGACGTTGTCTGTTTTTCTTCGACTTATGATTTTTTTCTTTTATATATGGAAAATGCTTTTCCATCTATCATGTCTTTTGTAAACCAGTTTATAGGAATAAGAAAAATGTGTTAATGTTCACAAAAGACAGGAAAATTAGAGGTTAACATATTGTCGGCAAAAGATATATGTCTATAGCTCTCCATGTTTCAAACTCTAAATCGTACCGAGTCTAGACAAAATATAGATAAATGAAACAAAGACTTGCTCAAGGTCTGCCGTCAACTTCATATTCCGAAGGGTACATAAACTCCAAGATACGATTAAAAAGCAACTACTTACAAGGTTTCTGACAGGGGACGTCAAGTTATCAATCCTTTGAAATGAAATGTCAAAATGATTCCAATTATATATACAATAATATACTTGCTTCCTGTCCCCAGACAGAGAAAAATAGGGAAAACTGTAGAAAAGTAAAATGATTTCAGTTTTTAAATATTTTTCTTATGCTTTATAGTGAAACGTTCTAGACTTTAACGATATTTGACCTAAAATGTCTAGACATTAACGGTACATAATTAAAATAATGTCCATACAATGTGACCTGTCGCCTGAGCATAAAAAGCATGCAATAAAAAAAACACCTCCATAATAATATTAATAATACAGGCACAGAAGACGACAAAAACACAGATTCAAGTAAAACAATATCAAGTGATATCGTATCAAAGATTTTTTAGCACTTATATTACAACAAAATATGGTCTTTTATTTTTTAATCAAAATTGAACGTTTCCAGGACAATGATAAAATTGAGAATGGAAATGGGGAATATGTCAACGAGACAACAACCCGGCCAAAAAGCAGATAACAGCCGAAGGCCACCAATGGGTCTTCAACGCAGCGAGAAAATCCCGCACCCGGAGGTGGTCCGCAGCTGGCCCTTAAATAAAAATGTGTACTAGTTCAGTGAAAATGGACGTCATACTAAACTCCAAAACATATAAATGAACTAAAATAAATGAGTTGACCAGTGTGCTCGAAAGCTTAGTTGTTGAAAATTGGTAGATTACGGGAAATTGCATGCTCTAGAGTTTGTGGGTGAATGAAAACTGAGAGCTTTATATTATGTGTGTATTATATATGTTCACTCAAATCTGTCTGTCAATACATAGCAAAGGTTTACAGCTTATAAGTTGACAAGCTTCTAATGCAATTTTTTTCGTTGATAAATAACGAAAGGAAAACTTTATTGGTTATTTCAAGTAAGATAGAAGTAAAGTTACTTTTTGCCGTATCAAAATAATTTTTAATCAGTGTGGCTACCAAAATTCACACAAACTATCGACTTATACCGCATTGCTTGAAGCATGACTGTATACTGTTCTCGACTAAACAGTTATTCTTCTGCAAAAGCTTTCGAAGGCAAAATTTCTATTGTAAAGAACACATTTTTCTTGAATAAACCGAATTTGATTTTATTTTTCTTTGAAATCTGGTTATTTCAAGCATTTGCTGTCAAGTTTTGTCATAATCAGTTCAGTTGTTTGATAGAAATTTAGTATAATCAAAATTTCATCGAAAAACCCAAAGTACGCTGCAGCATGATAAAGACCAATGAATGATCAAATATTTATCTCGTCTGCATAAAAACCGTTGAAAATGATACAAAAGATGACTATAAGAGGATAAACACCATTAATGCACTTCTTTGTTTTCATTATAATAAAAAATATAAAAATAAGGAGATGTGGTATGATTGCCAATGAGACAACTTTCCACCAAAGTTCAAATGAAATGGATGCAAGCAATTACTAGTTTAGGCTTTTTGTCCCTTTATACCTCTCATTCTCTCAAAATTGTTTTTTTTGGCTAATAAATCAAAATTTTGGGGTAATTATCACACATTTATGTAAGAAATAGGATAATAAATGAATAGTTGAAGTGTTCAAGCTGAATGAATTACTGTTTACAGACTCCATGGAGGTTTCAATAAGTCCTTACGTAAAACTTGTTTACGCCGCGTTCTGGAGAGGGACATATAACGGCTCTCTTGTAGTGAATAATTTGCTTTTACAGTTTCAAAAATCATTTCATTTACTTACTACTGTATATTTCTTAAAGAAATACTTAGGAAAAAGTTTTCTTGTATAGCCAAGTATAGGAAATAAGGAGAAAAAGACAGAAAAAAACTCCCCAAAACACTGAGTATGACTTGCTCTGCCTATTATTCATGGTAGAGCCCTATTTCAAGGCAAATGTTCCCTCAAATGTGTTTTGAGACTCAATCCACTCAGAATATTTCATTTTTCAATATTTCACTGAAATAGCATGAATTTTTTAAAAATGAGAGTACATGCAAGGTCAAAAGTGCACAGGGCCGTAACTACCGTTGAGGCAGACGAGGCAATTGCCTCATCTGAATTTTTGGCAAAAAAAATAAAAAGAAAAAAGAAAAGAAAATGGAGAATGCTTGGCCCTTTGGCTAGAAAACATCCTTGCATTTTCATATCAAGAATTAAGTAATGCATACTTCGAATAGTAATTACTGTTGACGTGCAGCTTTTTTACTTTTATTTCAACTACGTTAGATATCGAACTCTCTATCTGGATTACCATTGCCAGTAAACCGGCATTTGGTCATGTTGATTCTGCAATTTTTTATTTCCTGCAGTAAAAGTCTCTTGAACAAGTTGGACTGACAGAAGAAACGCCCCAGTCGAAAGTATTGAATATCATTATACCGTATTAACTAATTTCTTCCTTTCATTGACCATACATTTTCACATTTATATTCGCGATTTTCCAGATGAACTGAAGGCAATTTTCTATAGCAATTACCTCGTACCAGCTCTTGTAAACAAGATAAATCCGGAAATTATCTACAGTGGCGATCACTTCTAACCTCTCATTAGAACTGTCAGAATAATCTGTCATAGAACTGTTCTAAACTGTCCTAGAACAGTTCTACCAAGAACAGTTCTACCCTAGAACTGTTCTACCCTAGAACTGTTCTAAGTAGAACTGTCAGAATCAGTTCTAGGTAGAACTGACTAAATCAGTTCTAGGTAGAACTGTCAGGATCAGTTCTAGGGTAGAAATGTCTAAAACTGTTCTAGTTAGAACTGTACAAATCAGTTCTAACCGTAGAACTGTCAGCAGACCTGACTAAATCAGTCAGGACTGTAGAACAGTTCTAAATGACGTCACTGCAGTAAGGGTATCTTAGAATTTAGAAAAAAAATCAGTTCCAATTACTTTACTGTATAATAGCAGATTTTCTATATTTTTACTGATCAAACGTTACATGTAACGTTACAAATATCGAAGCGGATAGAAAGGTTATCCAACTCATCGGAGAAATATTTTTATATGATTGCATATAAACATCATGGTTTACCTTACTTCGTTCCCCGTTTTTAACAGTCTCTTCCTAAATATAACTCTGCATTTAATTCATGGAATTTTAATCGTAATTTACCTTGTTTGGCTTGGATTTACATTCATGATTTAAGATTCTTTTTTGACAAATGTTCAAACGAAAATTGTACAGTGGATGAATTATGGGATATTAATGAAATACGTGTTGTATAAGTACAGTGGAGATCACTTCTAACCTCTCATCAAATCTGTCAGAATCTGTCAGGAGAAATGTTCTAGGACAGTATGTAGAACTTTCATCCTGACATCTTTTAGACAGTTCTAGCTAGAACAGTTCTAACCTAGAACTGATTTGGTCAG